TAGCATAAATAAATATAAAAACTAGCCTGACTAATTTGGAATTAAAACTTGATTTGGCTAATGGTGACATCATAAATAAAGATTTTATTTAGCAATTTTAGAACAAATTGCAATAATAAAAAATTCAATTGACCCGTGCCACCAGATAATCCTCCACCAGAGGGCAGTAGACACAAACAGGGCACAACTGGATATGGCAGATTATTGATAAATGTACTAATCCTAATGCTCCATCTGGATGTTTTAAGGCCAAATGCTCATTTGTGCTTATAATCTACAATCACTGCACCAACAAAAATCACAGTTAAACTAGCCAAGCCATGATTGAATAACCTGCCAATGGTCATTCACTAGCGGGATCTGGAATATTTTTCTAACTTTTCCCAAAATGTTGAACAAATTCAGTCTTTGAGAGATTTTCCAAATTCTTAAAACTAATTTTACTTTAAATAAATCTGTTGATTTCAGGGGCAACAGTTTAAACAAGTATATTATCTTTAGTAGATACTGGCTTAAGACAGGTGATAAAGCCTCAAATCCTTCACAGGAGGGTTACTGACGTCTGTTACTGCAGAAGGTGCATGGGAATGAGCACCTGTGCCTGCTTTTTTAAAGGTTTGGAGCACTTGTTTAATCAATACATTTGCAGTGGTCACTAGTAGGAAGGAGTGCTTAGTAAATCGTAATCTGGGGGGGAAGGGCTCCTGTTTCAGAAAGTAGAAGTGAGCCACATCAGCGGAGACCTTCAGATGGCAGGATTTTGAGTCTTTTTCCAGATATTTGGACATCCCGCCTCGAATTGGCTAACAGCAACGAGTCTACCGCAGGTGACTATTTTTGCTCTGCAATGTCGAAGATTTTTCTCCACAAAAAAACACAAGCCTGAAAGAGTTCTGTTGTGTGGTGGAGTTGCTACTGCTAAAGGTTAGCTTCTACTAGTCGAGACGTTCTCTGCTGTTTCTTTGACACTAAACCAACAACAGCCTTCCCCGTCGTGAGTCAAGATGGGTGAGTCCATGAATGTTAAGTGACAGTGTGATGTCACACTGTCAGGATTTTCAAATCCTGGCGTTTCACCGTCTATTTGCTATCAGAAGCCAATGCAGGAGACTATTTTCATGTTCAGCCTGCATGAAAAACCCATATGATTGATGGTAATAAGAAATAAATCATTGAAAAATGGTTTTCAGAGTTCCACGCCTTTGAATTTCACAGATTTCACAGAGACTTTCCATGATTGTTTTCACTTTTTAATTTTATACTTCTGAAATTTGCTGATGATACAACAATGTTCCCATTAGCGATCTACTGAAAAGCAACCAGTACATCCAGATTCAGGGAAATTCTCATTCACGGCTTAATGTTCACATGATTGTGAACAATTCCTAATGTTATAACTTTTACATGTTAGGATACTTATAAAAACTCTCTTATGATCTGATTTGTCTCTTGGCAGTATCAAATGCATCTGTCAGTAGTTACATTGATTGTAAGGAAACCATAAAGCTGATAATATCACTATTATTTTATTGTTTTAGCTCTAAGTCGTGTGAGCTTTAATACTGCCACATTATGCAACGTTGATCTTTAAGCTCAAGTTAGTTTCTGTATTAGGGATATTTTTTCTTCATAAACATCTTTTTTATTACAAGCTGCACAAAATAATCACCATTAGTACAAAATCTACTGATTTCCATGAAAGCTGTTACAATCTAAACTACAAAAGCAGTCTGCACCAAGAAGGAGGCATTGCCTCTGAGTCACATGACCTCTGATTACCTGTGAAAATGGCTGCAAACGCCAAAAAGACATGATCTATTTGGTCAATGAAATGAAAACAGAGACGCTGCAATCCTCGCTCAAATGCAAACCTCCTCTTCTTCACCTCAGGCAAGTCAAGTGGTTATTAAAAAAACTGTTATGATCAAATACAAAGTCAAAACAACAGTCCTGCTATTTTCAAAATGTGTTCATGTGACCGTCAAATATTTAATATCTAATACTCATATAGCTTGCCCAACAAACTGAGGTAAACTCACTGGCTGTGTGGAGATTTCCTCATTTCAGGATGGGAGATCTTGTAAAAACTTGTGTAAAAGTAGCACAAAAAAAAAAAGACCTTTACGGGATTAATGATGGAGTGATGAGCCACTTAAGAACTGATTTGTTTAAACTGGTGTGACACTGTGGAGTTAAGTTTGGGACCATGTTACATGTAACTTGTACCAATTTTGTAACTTGTAACATGTATTTTTACTGTAACTTTGCTTCTCATTTTGCAACACACTTCTTGTTTTGCAGCATGTGACTTTTGTTTTGTTGCATGTAAATTGTGTACGTAACATGAAAATTTCAATTTGTAACTTGCAGAAGAAAATCTTTGTACAAGTTTCAATCACAACTCTCAAAACACACATCTCAGTCTATAGTTACAAACTCAAGTCTAAGTGCACAATACATTTTGTCCCTATTTTAGCTTCCTTCCCAAAGAATCAATGACAGACTTTGTCTTATCAGCCGATTATGTGTCTCGGATATGAAATCCTGCTCTAATTTAAAATGTAGTGAAAAATCAGTTTAATGTCTCTAAAAATTATTATATGACTAAGTTTGGTTGTGAGCAATACAACAGTCCTCTGGCCTCTTGCCATGATTGGACAGGAAACCAAGACACATGATAGGCTGGTCATTGGTTATTTGGAAGGAAAGCTAGAATTGGGGCAAAATGTTTTGTAACACATAGATTTAAGTTTTGTAACTGCAGGCTGAGATGTGTGTTTTCAGAGTTGTGATTTGAATCTTGTACATTGATTTTTTTTCTCCTGCAAGTTACAAAATGAAAGTTTCATAATACGTACCGAAAGTTACGTGTTACAAAACAAAAGTTACATGCTACAAAACAAAAGTTACATGCTACAAAACAAAAGTTATGTGTTACAAAACAACAGTTACATGTTACAAAATGTGAATTATATGCTACAAAAGTTACGTGTTACAAAACAAAAGTTACGTGTTACAAAATGTGAATGACATGCTACAAAACAAAAGTTACGTGTTACAAAACAAAAGTTACAACATAAAAGTTACAGTTACAAAACATGTTATAAGTTACAAAACCTGGTACAAGTTACATGTAATATTGTCCCAATCTTAACTCCATATAACACCAGTGGGAGAAAGTGTAGCCCATAACTAATGTGAGGCTTGGGAGGAGGTAAGGAGAGCTCATGAGGTAGGTTTTTGCTGTAAACAAAAAAAGAAAATCCAAAATAAAATAACCAGAAAGGAAGACCAGGAATGGAACACCTAATACCTCAGTATAATACAGACCAAAAATTATTTAGGCAGCTCACCAAACAAAAGGCATAGAACACAAACACAGAAATGCACAACTATGCATAACTCAAGAGGTAGTTGCTAACATCAGTCATCTTCAACATTGCTTAACAGAGTTTGAGTAAGTCAGTGGATGATTCCCGAAAGAATATTATACACGTTTTCCTTTTTTTTTTTTTTTTTTTTTGGTTAATTCCCTGAGAGCAGTTCATCATCCTGAGAGGAATTGTGTGTAAAACTGTAAAAATACATCATACAAAAAGATGGTTTTCATACATTTCCAGCACAAAGCTAAGCTCCTTCTGCAGTTTGTTCGTTTACTTTTCTTTTTTTTTTATTATGAATCTGTCATGTTGCACTGTTGTTTGATTTTTACCACACGCACACATTCAAAGCTGCACATTATTAAAAAGAAATATTATTTTTTTTAAAAGAAGGAACATAAAAAAAACACTTTCTGCAATAAGTGACACTTATTGTGAAAGGGCAGAGGCAGCGAGCACTTTAAAAGCCGAAGTCTTTGGTATGAATACCAAAAAAATTTGGTCGTCTGCTCGAGAGCTTTTAAAAAGCACACGTGCTAGCTCAATATACAAAGTTATTTGATTTGTCAGAACACTAAGATACAACTCCAAAGTGACCTTGATGTGAACTTAGAGAAGAGTCGACTTCGGAGATGAGCTCGTTTCACATTCAGTTTGGTCAGAGGAGAGTCGTTGGGTTAATAAGTGCCACTAAAGCCACGCTTGGGATTCACGTTACGCCAAAAGCAACACGCTCCATCCGTCCGGTTCTCCCTCTCTACGTTCCTTTGAGTCTGAAGCTGCAGCAGCAGCGGGGACGTCCTCTGATCCCCAACGGGACAGGGCGTCGTGTGCTGACTGACAAACGGTAGGCACTGATGGATGAGGAGACTGTGCTTCAGTTTTACTAAAAATGAACAACCAGAATTTAAAAACAAGAGCAGAAGTTTTCAGCATTCGCTTCCCAAAGGAAGAGCTAGTGAGGTATTATGTGAGTAAAGCAGCTAAGACGATTGAAACTACACCTGGAAGGTGAGTTTTTGTGCTGTTAGCTTATGAAAATATGAGATGAAGGCATGATTTTTTAATGTTTTTTCAAAAGGGAAAACTGTTACATAGAGGGAGAATTTTCAGAATCCCATGCACATAAACGAGGCTACGCTCCTACTTCTGATCTAACTCCTTATGTATGCATTACTTACAGTTAATAGATTTTTAATTATTATAATTTGCAACTTCACATATATATATATATATTAATGACTATTTTTTAGTTAATTATGCAACAACCAAATTGGAACTCTAATGATCTTTTTAATCTAAACTATAATCTAGATGGATTATATAATGTTTTATATACTTTTAATTATGTAATGGGAAAACGATGGGTTAACAGCGGCACCCCAGTCAGATATTTGGGGGGGGGTTACGGAGCATCACACTACAAGCGCACACATTCTTGTTTTTCTCGTTTTTTTGCACTTGGTTGCGCTTCCACAATCAGCTGGTCCAGTCCGAGTCACATAAATAGATATGTACTGAGTGTTTTAAAATTATGGAGACTCACTCTAGCAACTCACTGGCCTTCCCATCCCCCCCCCCCACCCACCCACCACCCCCCCCCCCCCCCCCCACCCCAAACATCTCTCTCAGGAATTCATTAAATTTCCCTGAAGATCTTTAGAAGCCAAGCTAACACTCCTATGGGGCTGGATTTTCACTTAGAGGGTCTGAAGCTCTTAAGAGTCCTTCCCTAATCCACCCTAAATGAGCTACCACTTGTGCTGCAGGGATGTAATCAGGACTTTTTTTTAATGATTAGAACTAAGAGACATAAAGTTGTGGCTTTCAATCATTCGCATAATTAGGGAGGGGGCTTCCAAAATGGACACCCTTTCAGGTCCAGAGTCACCAAACCTGGACAGAAACCGCATTTCATCTCTGAGCTGCACCGATAGAAACAAGGCAGAGTTATTCCCTGCAGTCACCCTTCCAGCTGCCGTTGCAATGGCTGCACCGGATGACGCGCCAGTCACACACATTCATGCGTGTTCGTACCCCGTTGATGGTTGCCATAGTCGCGCTGGTTACAAAGAATTATAGATCAAACTGAAAATAGTAAACCTCCCATATTCTTTTCTTTCACAGGTGTGAGGTAGATGAGGGGTGTGTGTGTAGAGGGGGGGAGGGGGGCTTCAGGTCATCTTGATTGAGGACAAGCGCAAGGGTCAAAGTTCAACTCTGTGAAACATTTTTCAGGATTTTCTCCACCTTTGGGTCCGTGGGCCCCGGTGTGTGTGGGGCTCCTCAGGGGAAGAAGAGGACCCCTCTGGGGGGGACGAGCCAGAGCGCTGCTCCTCCTCGGTGGGGCAGAGGTAAGTCTCAGGTCCTGAGGCCGAGGTAGACGCATGTTGGTCATGAGAGCCAGAGGGGGGCGCCAGCACCTTGTGGGGACACTGAGCCACCATGTGCATGATGCTCTGGCAGTAGTGGCATTTCTTTGGCTGGGGGGGCAGGCCACACTCCTTGGCATGATGATCCAGACCTCCGCAGTTGTAACATCTGCAAAGAACAGGGCAGGAGTGAGGAAACGTGAAAAACATAGCAAATATTACATAAAATTACATTAATCTTATTTTACCTTATCTATTTGTTCAGAATCTTAGAAAATAAAAGTGTTTATGTCTTTATAATAAAACAGTCAACAGTTCTCAAGCCTGCTGAACCCACATTTCACCACTAGATGGCAGCACAACACACAGAATGACTACAAATGCTGCAGGCAAGACAGCTGCTCCCAGTTTTTGCCTAAACTTTTTTTGTTGCACAAGTCACACATCCCTCACATCATCCGAATCGCTGCTTCATCCGTTGACGTTTGAATGATTCTCTTGCTGATCAAAGAATAGCTTCTTTGACAGATGAAGTAGAGTAGGAAATGCTTATTTTACTTAAACATACAGCAGCCATGTTAGCCGATTTCTACAATAAAACAACTCAAATGTTCTGGAGTTTCACTCTCTTAAGATGAACTGATGAATCTTTTGAGGATAAAAAGGCGTTGACTCAGGGAATGAATCAGTTTGGTCTGAACATGTGGGGCAGCAGTAGCTCAGGTGGTAGAGTGGGTTGCCTCATGATCGGAGGGTTGTGGGTTCAATTCCAGCTCCCGCCAGGGGTATACTGCTTCACACACTTCACCCAACTTGCCTGTGTTAGTGGTGGTCAGAGGGGCCGACGGCGCCAAATGGCAGCCTCGCCTCTGTCAGACCTCCCCAGGGCGGCTGTGGCTACAAGTAGCTTACCATCACTAGCAGTGTGTGAATGTGAGAGTGTGTGGAAAGCGTCTTTGAGTGTCTAGAAAAGCGCTATATGAGTTCAATGCGTTATCATTATAACATTCCAGACTACTTAGTAAAGAACCAGTTTTTTATTACTTTTTCACTAGTACTGTCTTGCAAAAGGAACAGATAAAAACACAAGCAGGTTATAGAATTTTTAAACGAATGAGCTGAGTTCTTACTCAAACCCGTGCTGTGACAATGAAATATTTACGTTATCTTATAAAGGTACAGAAATGTGATTGAAAATAAGAGAAAGGGCAACAAAAGTAAAATAAATAAATAAATAAAATCTTTAAAACATCTTTAAAATTGCCTGAATATGTTTTTTTCTGAGAATATTAAGTCAAATGTGTCAAAAATTGAAGTATTTAAAAATTAATATGCATATATGAATATGTAACCAGATTTAGTTTATTTTTCATGTATGTCAAATGTAAATGAAAGGTGTTTAAACTTGTTGTTTTTTATATACTATAATAGTCGTTTTCTTTTAAGAGTAAAACTTGTAAGTCGCTTTGGACAAAAGCGTCTGCATAAACATAAACAAACATAAACATAAAACACAAAATTTGACATGTATGTTTTCAATTTTTAAAGAAAAACTTTTGAGGACTTTTGAACTATTTTGATGAGCTAAAATGAGTTATAAAAAATAAACTCTTTCCTGGTTAACTGGTTATGTTCATAAATATAATTTAATCTTCATCTAATACATTTTATTTGATTAATTGTGATTTTTTATTAAATAAGAGAAAGACCCGGATGAAAAAATATCTGCAGAATAAAATATTTTTTGCAAATGTATTATCTTATATCTAGTTATTTTATCTTATATTCACATATTTTTATCTTTGGATTTTTAGCTTGAAGCTAGGCCGGTTTAAGTAACATTTAGGATCATTTTTATGTTGATTTTAAAGTAAAAACTTTGCATATAACTAGTAATGAGGCTAATTTCTTATTTCTATTGCCTCTAGAATAAAACACTGAACATATTCATGCTTATAATTCATCCAAACACCAGTCTGGTTATTTTCCTGACATCCAGCCAGGGGCGGAGCTTGATATGTGCAACATGTGCGGCCGAACAGGGCGGCAGTCTGCAGGGGGCGGCATTTAATTTCCTTTTTTTTTTTTTTTTTAGCATCAACCAATACATAAACAAAACATAGAAATCGCATGTTCTTAATAATAATAGTGATGATAATAATATTTCTGTAATAAAAGCACAACAGCGTTTATATTGTGATTTTATTGCGCCCCCTTGTGTCCGCCGCGCCTCTGTGGATGCAGGGTGGTATAGTGGGCTCTATAGCGCCCTTCATCAGGTGGGGGCGGAGGGATCTCGGAGAATGGTGGTGGAGGGATGCAGGTACCGTTTGACATATCACCGCTCACAAACATAATGGAGAAGAAGCGGTCGAAGCCATCTGGTGCCCAATTTAGAAAAAAAAAGAAAAGAAGAGGAGGAGAAACGAGGAAAAGATGCAGGTATGCATCTCTTTATTATTTAGTTGGTATTTTTCCCGCCTGTCCCCCAACTTATTGATTAACTAACCTCTCTAATCTGAACGTTTTGCATGGTGCTATGATGATCCTTTCAAATGTCTTGCTAGCTTCTTACGTTGCATGTATTTAGAACTACTTCCAACCGCTAGCTTTTTCTTTGTCAAATGAGCTTTTATGAAAAGCTAAGAGTGGAAAACCGAAAGGATGATAACCAAACGCTGTCAAATAAAAACGAGTCTTAGAGAATTTTGCTGAAATACATTGATATTAGTATTGATCACCACGGCAGGTTGTCCTGCTTTCTTGCGCCATTTGCCTTTCTTTTTGGAATCGGGAAATTAGCTATTACCCCATGAAAAACGAAGCGGCAGCGGGCTGCTGGAGGTGCCCTGCTAGTAAGATCCCGTTTAAACTGTAAACTGCCATAAAATAAAAACTATAATAGCTAGAGTGGTCTTTTTTTAGCTGAAAGTTGAGACTCTCGCCTTTCGCACATCTGTACTGTACAAGTCGATGATGTCATCATGTTGCGTTAAGTGTGCTGCACACTGCGGCTATGTTAAAAACTCACAGTGACCAAGAAGCAGCGCGGGAGACTTAAAGAATTTAACCAGTTAAAATGGATTCATGGATATTTAATCAATAGTCGTGGCTCCTCTTGTCATTTAGTTTTTTGTCTGCTGGAGACATTTGCTGAATAAGGAAATAAAAACTTAAAATGACAAAAAAAATAGGGAAAATCACTTGTTTTGTATCTTATTAATTATTAATGATTAATTGATGGTTGGTATTTTAACTTTTGGTAAAGGAAAACACACAATTTCCAGGCAGCCCCAGTCTGGAGAAGTGATGGTGACATCAGCCGTTAAAAAGAAATAATACTCTGATGTTTTTATGAATACTTTGTACTTTTACTTGAGTATTTCTCTAACACCAGTACTTTTACTTGTAAATGAGTAATATTTTAGCAATGTAACAGTACTTGTACTTGAGTACAGATTTTCAGAATTCTTTCCACCACTGCTGAAAACTGTAAATGCTCATTGTAACGTGTTAATTAAAATGCTAAAGCAACAGACGTGACATGAAGATTGTATTGTTTGTTTTATGCAGCATCAGGAGCCCTACGCAGATATTTTGGGATGACATCAGCTGCCACTGAGGAACAGCCATCTACCTCCATGGCTCATACCAGTAGGCCAGTATTTGAACTTGAGGAGGGACAGTCTGCTGGCACCACATCTCCCCAGGAAGACACTTTAGGTGGGTTTTGCACACGTGTGTGTGTGTCCAGCAAACATTTAGCTACAGACATTTAAATAGTATTTTCACAGAATATGGGAATTGTTCCATATAGCAATGTGGTGAGTTATGCTTCCATTTTCTGTCAATAGAGAGACCTACCAGTATATGTGAACTTGATGAGGGACAGCCAGCTGCCACATCTCCCCAACAAGATATGTCAGGTAAGTTTTGCACAAGTGTGTTGTGTGTGTGTGTGTGTGTGTGTGTGTGTGTGTGTGTGTGTGTGTGTGTGTGTGTGTGTGTGTGTGTGTGTGTGTGTGTGTGTGTGTGCGTGCGCGCGTGCGTGCGTGCGTGCGTGCGTGTGTGTCTTGGAAACATTAGAGAAATTTGAATGTCACATATTGTATTTTAATAGAATATGTGAAATGGTCCACATAGCAATGTGTTGAGTTATGCTTCTGTTTTCTGTCAATAGAGAAGCCTGAACGATCAACCAATGAGTCCCATTGAAGATGATGATGAGCCTCTTTCTTCAGACCAAGCCAAGTGGTCATCACCAATTACCAACGGCATACGCACAGAGCTAGTTCGAAGAGGACCTACTAAGGTGCCAACTACTTTCATATTTCCCAGGAATGAAGGCGATGGCAGGTGTTGTCATCATCACTATTTCAGTAGAACTTTGACAAGTGGTGAGAAGGTGGCCAGGAGCTGGATGTTGTATTCAGTTAGCAAACGTTGTTATATATAATACACTCCACGCAATTTGAAACAAAGTTGTAGGTGTAATTTTTTTTCTTGTGTGTGTGTGTGTGGGTGGGGGGGGGGTTTGGGGTGGGGGCGTCACAGGGGGATCTCGCACAGGGCGCCATTTAGGCCAGCTCCGCCTCTGCATCCAGCCTATCTGAGAAGTCTGCAGCGCTGTAGTACCACAAAATGACCAGCAGGGGTCAGGGAAGCACAAACACTCAAGCTGCTGCAGCCACGGAGCATGCTCACGAACTGATGACGTCACAGGCATCTCTACCTGTCCTCTCCGAACCCAACACCACCATTCTACAACCTTGGTAGAAGTGAAGACTCAATTATCCTAAATAAACTGAATTATTCAGCCTAGTAAAACAACCAGGGAGCCTTCTCTCTCTCTGATACGGTTTCTGCTTTTCTAACAGACAATAACCTGCATCTACTCCATCAACATAGATCTGAGCTTTTTAATGAAAACGGAAAAGAAATAGACTCTCCTACGACAGGAAGAGCTACACCACAGCTGGCTGAGAGATGGTTTTTCCAAGAAGCTCCACATTTGGACTAAAAGCACCCTTCAGCGGTCCACCGAGGCCGCCGAGGCTTTAAGATGCATATAAGTCCAACAGACCCCCCCCACCCCCCCAATGCTAATTCCGTCACTCAATGTAAAAGCCGGCAAATTGGTTTCAAATAGCACCCATGGCAGGAAACGAGCCCTATTCATGGATAGCCATGGCAACAGGCATGTACACAGGCAGATTGAAGAGATTTAATCTATAATCTCAGCCTGCACTCATATAGATCGCCACTGTAAGAACATCCATATTTTACGTGTTTCTATTCTGAGTCGTGTTTATAGCGTGTATTTAACTCAAATGTGTTTATTATGTCGGTAAATCTCTGTTTCTCACCGATCTCCCTTTGGTTTACGTTTCTGGATGGGGAGCTTCCCTTTAGGTCTCCTCTCGCTGCCTGCACAGGGTCCTCCACCAGGTCCGGTGACCCGCAGCGACTCTAAGCCCTTAGAGGACTTCTTATAGGTGAACTCCACCTGCTCGCCCTCTTTTAGGCTGCGGAAACCCTCCATCACCAGTTTGCTCTGTTGGGAGAGATCAGAAGTGTCCAAATGTTTATAATACATCAGCAATTAAAAAAAACATCATTAATGATTGTGATGCAATTATTTTAACATCAAAGCTGGTTTTCAAAAATTGTAAGGGTTAAATAAAAGTAAAAAGATAAACCATAACATTTTCTTATTAATATTAAAAGAGCTGCCAACAGCTGAAGCCAATTTAGACACGTTTTCTATGCTAAAGCGGTTTAGATGAGTTAAATATAGCCATGCATTTGAATTTGTTTCACCTCCTAAAGTGCATCCGCACTTATCAGGGCACATTTAACACATATATATTGAGAAGTCACCACAGATATTAGAGCTGTGAACAAACAGCTCCCCAATCAACACTTTTCATTCCCAAATAATTTTCACAGAACATCAACACCTTTTAACACACAGCTTTTTCTGTGGGGGCTCGTTCACGCAGCTGCACAACGGCAACACTTTCTTTTTTAGACCCAGCGGACCGACTGTGAGTTTCACTCCTATTCCCACCACTTCCTATTCCCTCTGCAGGGGCAGAAAGACAAGAGTCATCATTTTGCCTTCGACACATCCACCATCCATCTTTCCTGCATGATCACAATTATTGATTTGGTTTCCATGCCGCCCAAAAAGATGGTGATTTGTCTCGGTGTCAGCCTATAGGCGCCGTATTCGTGACCTTCATGAATCGCAGCGAGCCCTGCGGATGTGGGTATAGGTAAACACTCCCACACGAGCATGCAGCGTGCAGACAAACCTACAACCTGCTATACATCAAAGGCTATAAATACACACACACACACACACATAGGTAAAAGCAGCTGTGTGTAGGAGACAGGAGAAAAGGAAACAAGAAAGATCGGAAAAAAATCAGATGTGAAACTACAGGAGAGAGAGGGGGAGAGAGAGAGAGAGGAGAGAGAGAGAGAGAGAGAGAGAGAGAGAGAGAGAGAGAGAGAGAGAGAGAGAGAGAACGCACTCAGCGGCCGCTTTTCTTCTAACGTCTCCTGCCATTACAGGAAGAGATGCTCTATAGGAGCGTTGTGTGTTTAAACGAGTGTGTGGCGCCGAGGGCACTTGTCAGGATGACCCTCATGCGCTCCGGAGGAAAAGTAATACTGAGGAGGCCGTTGTCCAGTGCAGACCCAAGTGTATTTTATTTACATTTTACAAAATTAAAATCGAGGCAGCACAACTCCATGCCTGCTGCTTCATCCATCACTCAACCCTCCACTCTCTCCAACAAACACAGCTGTATTTATAACAGGTGTGACTAATTGGATTAATCCTAAAACCTAGACACAGGTAAGTACAAAAAATACAATCTTTCAATACTCTTAAATGATCCTTAAATCATCATCTCTAAGATCTCCTTAAATAATTACAATACAGAAATAGAAACATCCTTAATCAATCCCAAAAAGATTCAATGAAACTTATCTACATTCCTACAGCAATTTCACAGGTCACCCCTCCCATTCCTCCTGAATGGAATGCTCCGGAACCTTCTTTAGGTGCTCCAGCTCCCCGGGGACTCTTTTAAGCTTGGTTCATGCTTGACGCATTCACTTTCCGCTTGGTGACGCGACTCGCGGATGGAACGCGCTTCACAACTCGCAGCGTTTATGGTTTGTGCGGCTCGTCTCTGCGGTGAGCCAATATTCTCCCAAACTGTAGGGGGCAGCATGGAGCTCTACAGCATGCATCCAACACTACACCATAGTAGAAGTAGAAATTACTGTTGTTTACAACATGGCATTTCAGCATTTTTAACAGCGTCCTTGTCTTTTTCGACAGTGCGAGCTATTTCTCTCCAAGAATTATTAACAACATGTTGATCACAGTGATCTTTGAGAGCTGAATCATACAAATGTCTGTATTTACGAACCTCTGCCATACTAGTTCTTGCCGGTCCGCCATGTTTTTCTGCGTCTGACCCTCTGCGTGGTTAGAAAACTTCCTAGGTGCGCGTTGCGGAAATTTTGGGCCGTGCGGAGACGCGGTGGAGGGGCGTGGTTGTTAAAATGACGCAACTTTTCCACGCGGAGACGTGCGGACCTCGCGGACGCGTCAAGCATAAACCAACCTTTAGCTGGAACACTTCCAGAAGCACAAGGGAAACAGGTAAGTACAAACATGCAATCATTTACCACTTTAAATCCTCAATATTCATACCAACTCTTCTTCTTACAGGTCCAAACGCTTCACCCCTTCCAAATAAACATTAAAACAATCATTGAGCCTGGTTTCATTTATCCTTCAATCATAGCTTAAGCCTGTGTAATGCACTTGCTACATTACAGAGTGTCTGGGCGAGAAAACGTCAATGTAGACAATCGAGAGAAAAGATACAGAGAAATAATTATAAGATAGGAAAGCGTCTGGACTAGCTGTTCTCTGATGGATGTCTAACAGTCACAGACAAACAAATTGCCTCTGGAAAACTTAGTTTTTGCTTATAAAATGTTAGATTAGAATATTTTAGCTTCTAAACCCTAAAAACTGCTGGTCTACTTCACAAATGATTAAATCCAAATGAAATTCAAATTTCATACATTTAATTAGTAAACAAGCAGAACTATTTGACTAATATTTGATCGAAATCAATGATTTGATAAAACATTAAAACATTTTTGATGATTCTAACATGCATCATTTCCAGTTTTTGCATTTGTTTAAAAGCACAGCTTAAAGAAAAGTTACATGTATTAAAGATGTCATTTTCATTCTGGTAATGAAAAATAAATAAAGCACCAAAAATCGAAGTAGCAAAAAGGAGATTTCTATCTAATTTTCATTTTTAATGTAAAAATTGAAAATATTTAAAAAGTGTAAAAAATCAGAAATGAATGGAACAAAACCAAACGTAAAGAATTTAAAATCTTAAATGTACGTTTTCAGACAATAAAAATGTGTCTTTCGTTTGTTTTTATTTGATAAGATTAATTAAAACAAGATAATATTCGATACCTTTGAATGTTTTTTAACATTTAACCTCCTGAGATCCAAATTGGTATTTGATGCGATTTAAAAGGAAAAACACTTCAAGTCGTTACAGATTAGTCAACTCTCATAAATGTGAAACAAAGAAATGTTTTTTAAGTTAATACGATTTTTGACAAACTTCCATCTATGAATGATAAAAAAGTTGAAGAGAATTAATTTGTGCAAGAATGTCCACATATGGACACAGGGTGTTAAACTAATTTCCTAAAGATGGCTGACGATGTTATTTATTAAAAGTCTCCGCGCCGCGTCCTTTTTCATATTCTCCCTCTGCCGTCACAGACTGTTGTAGACTCTTCCTTTATGGTTATCCAGGTGTTGGATTCAGCTTTGAGGAATGGAGGAGCAACGAGGGATGGAAATAGCGCGAGGAGCGCTTTTGCACCGAAGATGCAGCAATAAAAACAAGAGGAGAAGATGCGAGTCACAGATCGAGCTCGTGGCTTTGGACACCTGAAAGCTATCGACGTGATGAGCTTGTTCTGGAAGAACAAGAAGAACAAGAACAAGAACAAGAAGAAGATTCTTTATTCATAAATGTAAGTTTACTAACAAAACACCATATTTCTGTCATTTTTTTAAGGATGTGGAATTGTACATAAAATCAATATCAGAATCCACCAACAAAAACACAATGGTTCATTTATTGCATTCTGAGCTCCACCTTGTGCCATGACTACTCTTCTTATCCCCCTGCTGCTTTGTGGTTAGCAGACCACTTTCTTGTTCATTACTGCCACCAGCTGAAGTGGCGTGAGACCGGGACTCGAAGCACTACGTAAGTCAAGATGACAAAAATGATCAAGAATAGAAGAAGACTCTGCTTTGGAAAAGCCTCTTTTCCACCAGACCTGATAAATCAAATCTGATTGCTGATTGATTTTATTATAATCATTGATTAATCCAACAAAATGACAGAAACATTTTTTTTCCTGCAGAAATCAATGAGAAAGCAGGAAAATCTCCTTCCCATCCCCCACAAAATCTTCTAAATAATGATCATCAACTGAGAAGATCTTTTCCTCTCTTCTTTCCTCAAGCTGCTTCTCTTTCCAGGTCAAAGTTGAGTGGCTCGTCTCAGCCTTCTACCCCCTTCTCCATACCCCTGAACTCCCACAATGCACCAGTGAGGAAACCACACAACCCCTTTTGTTCTGCGGTACAGCAGGAAAACACACACACACACACCAATCTTCTCCCTATAGGAAATGGCATCACACACCCGCGTTTGTGTCTCCGATCGTTTCGGGAGCAGCTTGTTATCAACAATTACTTGATGGAGTGCGGTGTCCCATGTGCCTCTGAGCTGATGTGTGTCAAGTTTAAAATTAAAATAAAATACAAATTAGAGCCCGCCACCCGACTCTCCTGCCGGGTGTCCTGACCCGTATCGGTTTACACAAAGAGGTCACAAAAGGGCACGGCTGAGGGGAAGGAAAGCAAGCATGCCTAAGAGAACATGAAAGAGTCAGCAACAGGGAGAATATAGAACGTGGGAATGACTTTGAATGGGAGGGGTGGAGGGAGTCTTCGGGGGAGGGGGGTTAGAAATACCTCCAGCGCATAATGTTTGGCCCCAATGAAGAAGAAAGTCCTGATCAGTGGATGTTGGAATGGAAGGCAAACAGGAATCCGAGGTGAGACCTCCATCAGCTCTGAAACTCTAAACAAACTGTTACTAGTTGGGTTTCCGTTCAATAAAGGGAAATAAATATCATTTCTAATTAGGCAATTTTCAGATTGCAGCAAATGCTGCATTGCACAGCATCACCAAACGGTGGCGCTGTAGGCTCTGTTGCTTTTGGTTTTAGTCAAGAAGAAGAACAAAGAAACGGAAAAGCCCCAAACAAAAGGAAGAAAGTGGACAAATAGCAGCGTTACCAAGGAAACAACGTTCAACAGCCTGGATTTGGGATCACCCTGATTAGTGGACTACATAAACAGACTGAAGAATTTAATAAGCATCACATTTAAAAGTTGGAAACTAG